TCCAGTTGCCTTTTGAAAAAAGCACCTTTGCGGACAAGCTTCCCTCGGTTAGCGGAAGCTTTGCGTATGCCCACAACGTTTAAGAGTCTACTTAAAGACTCTTTTGGCGAGGCCAAAAGAAAAAAAAAATGGTATGTCTTGACTTCAAAGTGAGACTAGCGACCAAATGTTCTGAGCGCCACAAAACAGGAAATTTTACTCCACGTTGTTTGGAGGCCACACAACTGGCTGGATTTTTACTTAAGTAATTCTTTCAAGCTACTGAAATTGAAAGGAGAGGACAACATCAAGGGGAATATGGTCACCCTAAGTTCTACATCTCTGGGGCTTCCTCTTCCAAGTAGCTAGCCAAGCGAACCAGCTGCACAATAGACAATTGTTGATAGCAATTCTCAAGCCACCAGCCAGAAAAGGATCATCTTGTTCCTGTTGTGTTTTTTCGGGGGCATCGGTGGGATTGTGGAGGCTTTGTTGTTTCTGTGCTGGCTCATTTCTTGCGGCTGGCAGTTTACGCGGGCAGGGGCTATAAAAATATTATACATATATATGCTTCTGTTGCTTGACGTGGAAATTTTATAAATGCTTTAAAAAAAAAATATACATCCCCTTGGCCAATTTTTCTTTGTTTACGAATAGGCCTCGGCATGAATTACAACCCAAGGCTCCCACTTGACCGGACTTGATGTTATGGCATTTTTGTGGCAGCCATTATGCTTAGCCTCCCTTTTTATTTGATAAACCAGAAAGCGGTCAACTTCACAATACTTCTGGAGTCCCCCCCCCCCCCAATTAAGGCTGGGTTCATACAATCTACTAATCCCATGTGAACAAAACACCCAAGAATTGTGTTTTGTAACACGCTACGCTAAAGGAAATCCTTCTAACATGATGACTTAAAAGAGTGGTTGGGTTTTGAACGATACACTGAAGAACGCACTACTGGATCCGGCACAAACACAGCAACTGAACTGCTCTTATTGTATCATTTAACCCCTGTAACCCACAGATGGGATCCAGTCCGTCTTGCACTTATAGGAAGCTGCTCTAAAGTCTGCCAAACTTCAGAGGGTTTAGATCAGTGTTTCTCAACCTTGACAACTTGAAGTCCTGTGGACTTCAACTCCCAGAATTCCCCAGCCAGCTATGCTCCTGTGGACTTCAAGTCGCCAAGGTTGAGAAACACTGGTTTAGATACACCGGAGAAATGCCAGCCTAGAACAGGAGGTGATGCTGAAAAATCATCCACTCTCAACAGCCAAGATGTTATTCGGAATATTCTTATTTAGGCGCAGCTTTCCCAAGAGTCCAGGATCGGCTTAAATACGTTCAAACAGAGCGCCCATCTTTTCCTGAAATAGCTAGGATTCACTGCCACATGGCCCTTGATGGGGCGGAAATGTCTCCTCATTTTTGGCACCACTCGGCTCCCTTCTGTTTCCAGCTGCCTAT